AGGGTGACGGGGACGATGGTGGTGGCGCTGGTGGGGACAGGGACGAGGACAAGGATGGTGGCACCGATGGGGACAGGGATGAGGACAGTGATGGTGGCACCGATGGTGACCAACGATGGTGACAAGGACGGTGACAGGGACAGCGATGGTGGCACCAGTGGGGACAGGGACGAGGATGGTGACATTGATGGGGACAGGGAGGGTGACGGCGATGGTGGCACCGATGGGGACCAACGATGGTGACGGGGACGATGGTGGTGGCGCTGGTGGGGACAGGGATGAGGACAGGGATGGTGATGGTGGCACAATTGGGGACACTGGTGGTGACAAGGATGGTGACAGGGACAGCGATGGTGGCACCAGTGGGGACAGGGACGAGGATGGTGACATTGATGGGGACAGGGATGGTGACGGCGATGGTGGCACCGATGGTGACCAGCGATGGTGACGGGGACACTGGTGGTGGCACCGATGGTGACAATGATGGTGACAGGGATGAGGACAAGGACAGCGATGGTGGCACCGATGGGGACAAGGATGGTGGCACTGGTGGGGACAGGGATGGTGATGGTGATGGTGGCACCATTGGGGACACTGGTGGTGACAGGGATGGTGACAAGGACAGTGGCACTGATGGTGGCACCGATGGGGACAGGGATGAGGACGATGATGGTGGCACCAATGGTGACAATGATGGTGACAGGGATGAGGACAAGGACAGTGATGGTGGCACCAATGGGGACAGGGATGGGGACAGGGATGGTGATGGTGATGGTGGCACCATTGGGGACACTGGTGGTGACAGGGATGGTGACAAGGACAGTGGCACTGATGGTGGCACCGATGGGGACAGGGATGAGGACGATGATGGTGGCACCAATGGTGACAAGAACAGCGATGGTGGCACCAGTGGGGACAGGGAAGAGGACAGCGATGGTGGCACCGATGGTGACCAACAATGGGGACGGGGACGATGGTGGTGGCACTGGTGGGGACAGGGACAAGGACAGTGACATTGATGGGGGCAGGGATGAGGACGGTGATGGTGGCAGCGATGGTGACAATGATGGTGACGGGGACAAGGACACCAGTGGTGGCACGAGTGGGGACAGGGATGGTGACACTGATGGGGACAGGGATGGGGACAGCGATGG